TTATATCATTTTCTTCTATTTATTTTCTTATTTTTGGGAATTTTGATATCAAGCCTTTTAAAGAATCAAGTGTGGTTTGTATGGTTTAGCATCAGATATTATCACGTATAGGAATAACATTAAACTTCTCTGCCCTTATTAATGCATATAAATCCACATATGTCCATTTCTTCTAGTTTCATAATTTGAATATCATGAAAGTAGAAACAATCATTTGTTTGGTTTTCCATATTTTTACTTTTAGAAGCTGTACGTTTTTGTATTTTTTTTTCCTACTTCACGTCCAAACTTTTCTCTCTATGCGCAAGAAAAAAAATCCCTCAGCAGAAAAAAACCTATAACACCTACTTATTTTTTTAAAAAAAAAAGACAGGGTTTTTAGAATAATTTGAACTTTTTAGGAAAAAAATTTCCCAACAGTAAACTTGAGGCATTACTCAAAAGTTCTGTTCTTTCCAACCGTTGAAAATAAAGCATAGTTAAAATTTTCAAACAAAATCAAATAATTTGTAAAATATAATGGAGTCTAAAACATTAAGTACATAACTCATCTCAAAGTTCGAAAATGATTTAAAATCATAGATAGACGACCATACTCGCCATCGCGTTCGACACCAACTCGATCAACCTAAAGTGTGGAAACAAAAGGGTGAGCATTCCACTTGCCCCGTGAAGGAACCATAATATGCATCGATTCAACATAAACACAGATAGGATAATAATTATATGAACATGCAAAGCTTACTGTCTCACTGCTGACTGATAACCTCCTAGCTTCAAGCCTCCAGGTAACTTCAGACTAGTCTTATTTCAAGCCTCCATAATTTACCCGGCAGATTAGCTATTATACGTGGTTAACCAAAGTTCATGAACGTCGGTATGGTTATTTAGTGCATTCGGCATCAACCGATCCCACTAATAAATAACTCTACTAGTGCCATTGGCATTACCCAGTCCTGCTAGTAGAAAACTTAACTGATACTTACCCAGCTTAGTGACTCTTATTTCAAGCCGTCATGGTAAAAATTCACATCATACATTCGGCCCACTGGCCCACAATCACATGCATATAAGAACTATACTACCATATGTTTATATGGAATAAACCATAGTATATAACCCCCACCTGGTAACTGATGATAGTGATGGAAATGTAGTTGTACACATGACTCGAGGCTCGACTCCTCGAAATCTACATTAAGGCAAGAATATTCTTATAAACAACTTATTACGATTCTCTCGGTAAATAACTTAATCAATAGCTTTATTGCCTAAGTACATTCTTAACATTTAGTGGAACTCAGAACTATCGGAAAAAGGACCGGAGAAAGGTTCACGAGACTAAAATACCGTTCGGTACGAAAATTAAACAAATAGCTTAAAAATGACGCAACGACTTGGGGTTGATGTGATGTCACCCGAGAGGTGGCGCGCTCCCTGGCGCTGTTGACGCGGGGGGCTGGGATGCGCTCGCGCTCACCTGCTCGGAGACCCGCTGCAGGGTCGAGGCTTGGCCGCACACACTATCCTAGGGAGCTCGCGCGTTCGGTGATGGCGGTTGCAACTCTCGTGCGAGTCGACAGTCGGCCCGTGGTTGGCCTCGCGTATCTCAGCACGGGCGTGCGTGATCAACCACCACTCGCGTAGCTACACCCAACCAGGGTTTGGCTCTCGGTTCAAGGTTCACAATACATCAAAGAATTTCAACAAGTCAAAACAAAGACACAAGAATGTTTTTTTTCATATTTTTTTCCAAGGCTTTTCAATCAACATGATAACATCAAATTTCGATGGCAAAAATAAGGCTACGTTGACGACACCGAAAGGAGTTCCTAAGTCCACTAAAATTTCACAATTCAACATCTAACACACCCAGTGGCGAAACCAGGATCCCAGCACGGGGAGGGCCCAGATTCATCTTCTTCCGGGCCTCCGGCGGCATCGGAAGGGCTCTCAAAGGGCGCCCTTCCATTTCCAGCCCCTTCAATTGCCTCAACCTCTCACCAAAACCCCCAAAATGTTTTTTCTTTTGGGAGGGCCGGCGCCACTCCGGCCCTCAATGTGGTTTCGCCACTGAACACACCACAAAATATCTAACAATTAAACTAAGCAAAATTCTTAAAATAATTTTAACATCAGCTTAGAATAATTACCGCACTTTGTGAATCTACAAGCAAGAAGTTACGGATAGGATAAAAGTTCGATAATCGGATTGAAACTCCTTTTTGGATGCCTTTTGCCTCAGGACGAACTAACAATCATTTATTAAGGCAAAATATGTAGCTAAAAAATTGAGCCCAAATTCATTAAGGCCCAAACCTTTTTTCCATTTTCTTTTATTTTCTTTTCTCTCCTTTTCTTACTTATTTCCTGTCACCTTCCTTTCTTCTTCAATTGTTTTCTTCTTCCCCCAAATTCAATTTCTCCTCTGAAAAAGAAAAATCCTTACAATCTCCTTTTTCTTCTAAATTCTCAACTACTCAAGTACCCCGGGCTGAAAATCGGCTAATGACGGCGATTGGACTGGGCGCCATCGGCTCAGGTGCGGTGGCCGTCGCGCGTCGCGGTTTCGGGTCGCTGCGGCTGCGTGAGGAGGATCTCGGTTTCTAGCGCGATTGGTGGCTCGCAGACTAAACCCTTCGGCGATGAGTGCTCGCTGTTGTTCGTGGGCTTGCGATGGGGTGGACGGAGTCCCCCTGGCTGCTGGTGCTAGCGAATTCCGACAAGGTTCTGTTCTTCCGTCTAACGGCAGCAGTTGACGATGGTGGTCTGGCTCGGACGGATGAGGGTGTGGAAACCGGAGGCGAGCAAACATCACCGGCTCGAGACAACGGCGGCTGACGGGTAGTGGCCGTGAGAAAATGGGTATTGGTTGGTAGGATAATTCGTACTTGGCTATGCATTATGTGTGCGGATGAATTTGAGAGATGTTCAAAGTGAACTTTGGCTTCGGAACCAAGGCTGGAGGAATGAAGTTTTTGATCAGAAAATTTGGTTGAACAAATCACGTAAAAGCAATGGAGAAGGATAGATATCTTAAGGGGAAAACACAAGGGGATTAAGGGTGATTTTAGTTACCATAGAGGAATAGCATAAATTGGCATTATTTGAGGAGTTCTTGACTGGTCACAAGGAAAGGATACGGCTGAAAATTGTTACCAATTTGAGCTACAAATTTTGAAATCTGAGCTTTCACAAGGAGCCAAACGAAACCATGGCATGGCATTTGGGATGGTTTTCAAGGCTAAAGTACATAGAGACGCCTCAAAGTAAAGCTAATACCTAAAAAACGAGATGCAAAAGTTAATCACAATTTTACGAGCTCCTTCAGTTTTAGGACTTCGAAACGTCACTATTATAACCTTGTCAGACTTGACACTTTTTTGAGTTTAAAGAGTAATTACCATTTTTATGCATTAAAACTTAATTAATTTCAGCAATAAACGTTGTTAATGACCAACTTATACTATTAGCTCATTTTCTCTCTCCAATAAGTATATCAAATAATTAAATTCCACATTTAAATTTATATATTTGTTTATTTTAAATTGCTCCAATCTCTTCTTTTTTTTTTAATCCTTTTGTGTGTTCTCTTGCGTTTCATCTATAGCATACCCCGACTTGCTTGGGACCAAAGACTTTGTTGTTGTTGTTATTTTAAATTTATATTTATAAACCAGTTTTTCTACCATAATTTTATATCTAGATTATTTTAAATTTATTATAGGTTTATAAAACATTACAAGAATATAAACTATAAATTTAAATTTATATATAGTTTATTTTCAGTTTATTATACAAAAAAAAATCACTTTATTATACATGAAAAAATTATATAAGGTTTATTTTTAATTTATTATAATTATAAGATAATACTTTTATCCACAGAAAAATATAAATTTATATATATTTTATTTTCATAATACTGCTATTGATAAACATAATAAAATCATAGATAAACATCAAAACACTCAAAAAAACAACTTTAAAAAAACTTTCGGGAATTAACACACGAAATGAAAAACCTAATAAAATCATAGATAAACATCAAAACACTCAAAGAACTACTTTAAAAAAACTTCCGGAAATTAACAAACGAAATGAAAAACCTAATAAAAACATAGATAAACATCAAAACACTCAAAGAACTACTTTAAAAAAACTTCCAGAAATTAACAAAAGAAATGAAATCATAGATAAACATCAACATCAAATTAACATTAAAAAGCTACTTTAATTTAGTTTTTTTCTAAATATTAACATACATAAATTAGAAAAAAAGGAAATCGAAGCCATAAATAAAAAAAAAAAAGAAACGCAGCCCATCACTTTTCCGATCTTCAAATCCCCATTTTCACCTCTTTTCTCGACACTTGTTTTCTCCTTGTTGAT